GTAGAAAAGGAGTCAAAATATTGATATTTTTCAATTGAAATACTCCAGATTTAAAAAAATTTTATGCCTTTTTTTTTTTTTTTTTTTGTCAAGAATAAGTTGAATAACTGGAAGAATTCTACAAAACTTTTGTTTGCTTAAGGCCACTCAATTCTCTCATCAAATTTGTAAACAAGCTTAATTAAAAAAAGCACCAAAGCATTTGTGAAATAGAAGTATATGTCTGAACCATTTAAACCTCCAACATTTATTCAGGGAATGAATACCAGGTTTAGAAATAAAGAGAATCTCTGTGGTGTGTCTCCTCTCCATGGGTGCAAGTGAGACAAATTAAAACCCCTATGTTTCTTACATAAAGCATGCTAGTTTAGCTCGAAAGAGATACAAATGCAGACTTCTGTATTGCAATAAATATGGTTTTTATAATGAAAGGAAAACTGAACACTTGTGGCCTGCTGATGTAGTTCTCAGTGTTTGCACTGGAGGTCTCACTGGCATTTAATGAGCTTGGCTCTCTTGGCTGTCAGGCTTCTGTGCCTGGGTTGTAACCAGCTCAGACTCTCTCTCCTTCTTCCTAGTGGAATTCTTCAGGAAGAAACAGCAGTTAATGTGGAACATACCCTGAATCGAGGGATAAGTCCCACCTCTGGAGGATCCCAGGAAGATTTGTAGTTATGTGTGCAATGGTGAGGAGCAGATTCAGTCCCTGCAGGACGGTACTTGGTGAGAGATTTCTTGTGACCTTCCCACATGTGATGTAGGATTTGCCATTGACTCTGGTTTTTTTGGGTAGTGCTGCTCCCATTATTCTGTATGGTTACTTGCAAAGTGTATTTTGGGCACAAAATACTGGATTGCTCTGGGTGGTTTGACAAACCACACACAAAGTATGTGGGCCTTAGCTTCTTCAGAATAAGCATTCAAACTTAGTGGAGAACTTAGAGGTAAACTGTGTTCCTGCATGACCTCTGGTGTGACAACCTCTGCTTAGTGCACTCCATGCACTTGGTTCTCTTGTAGCGGAGCACCATGGAGAAACAAAATGAGCCCTATGGCATTTTAATGTTTTAGAAGTTCTTGATGTTTCTCAAAACCTAAGCTGCAGTGGCACAGTCATAAATCTGAAACACAGAGATGCTTCTTGATATTTTTGCCTCCATACTATTTTATTTAAGTGGATATTATGAAATAAGTCTGTGTACAGGCTCTGAGGTGCATCAGGGCTGCTGTAACGAGGAGCATAGGAAATGTACACATCAGTTTGGAAGACTGTATTTGACTGGTTTGAAGTAGAAAAGGCATGGGTTGAATGCTAGTTAAAAGTGGGGGAAAAAAACACCAAAACAAAAAACTCCCAATCAGACTACCAAGTAGCTTGTTTCTCTACAAGTATCATGATTTTGTTAAGGGAACAAAGACAAAAGCTCCTCCCTAACATAGATTAAGTGCTCTGGCCATCTACTTCTGCTTTCTGTGGTCTTGAGCATCCTGTTGGTCTGGCAGCAGCTGCCCTGCAGTGAAGTGGGTTGTTGCTTCCTCTGGAGGGAAATGTCTGTCAGGGTAATAAAGCAAAACCTGTTTCCATTTCCTCAGAGATGCTGTGAAATATCTTCTCTTCAGAGGAGTGAGTCACAAGATAGGTCCTGCCCTGTTGTAAAGTTACACATTTCTATTCCCACTAAATTTAAATTCATGCCCAGAAACTTAGTTGAATACAACTGACTGATGAACTTCAATGAATCTGTACAGATTGACAAAATGAGTTTGGGGCACCTGTTCTGAGATAGCTGAAAAGCTTTGATATTCCATCCCAGTTTTCTTCAAATTTCTAAATGTTATGGATATACAAGGACTTTGTTATTTATATCCAAAGACTTGTAATGTGGCTTGCATTTTCCATTTATTAATGTAAGTTAAAATTTTAATAAGACATATATTTAATTAATTTAGGCAGAGTCTACTTACTATCTGATCCTTTAGGTGCTGTGTGCCTCTTTTATTACTGCCCATGTCCATTTATTTCAAGAAGAGCTGTATGATATTTACATGAGGTCATTGTATTGTGTTTTTACTGTCATGAATTCTCTTTGCTTATATCATCAAATTATTTTGTTCTGTGGTGGAAATACTCTAGAAAATGAAACTTTGGTGGATAATATTCTACCACTGACTTAAAAATTTGTGTTCATTCCTGGGTAAGAGAAGCAGGTGAGATAAGAATTTTCCATGATATTACCTATTAGAGCTTTTCCTGTGGGTATGGATAGTTGTTTGCTTTTGGGTTTAGGAGGGCTGAAGCACCATGAGGCCTGGTGGCAAAAGCCAAGTCAAAAACAATCCAAAAAGCCTGGCTTATATCTCTCTCCTATGAAGTAGCAAATTCCTTTCTGATTTTTTGTAAACATTTCCTTAAAAACGTCTTCAAGCATTACTGAGGATTAAGTCAGAAAGGTAATTTTAGTTTATTTGAAGCTGCCTGCACAAAGATAGGAAAAAAAAAAGGAAATGCTATGAAGTATAGAAACTTGACGGGGTTTTTTTTCATTCTTTGCTCTTTGCCAAGCTAAGTACAAAAAAAAATTTAAATTTTTGAACCTAAGTTTTTTAAATCAAGTCCAATAAAATTTCTTCCAGTTTCAAACCCAGTAAACACAAACTCATCTGAAGCCTGAGTCAGAACAAGTACCATACTCTGCAGAAGAGTTTAAAACTCAGTCTTGGCACTGACAAGTCATTTCCGTTGTTCCTTATTTAAAAAAAAAAATAGTAGTAATCTCCTGAGGAGATAATTTGATAAGGAAGATAAAATATCCCAAAACTGCCCCAGGAGATGTATTTAAATTCTCTCAAACAATTTTAAGCTTTGAGCTGTGGATAAAGACAAATTACTCCAATCTTCACAAGGTGCTCTGTTTAATATAATGAGGTTAGGACACATTGCTAGCAGTCACATGACGCTAGCTAGACAACACTTGACAAACCTTTTCCAAGGTGGTGTGGTTCCTGGGGCATTCCTGCAGAGAGCTCCCATGTCCCCAGCCTGGCTCCTGCTCACTTGGAGGGAGCAGCAGCTCTGGAGCCCAAAACGGTGTCTTGGCTCCTTTCTGGTTTTTCTTGCCTTGGCAACTGCCGTTTGCACAGCGTTTAATTTAGAATAAATGAAATTTCAAAGTGCACATATTGTCTTGTTCCCCCCTTTCTGCTATGTAAAGGGCCAGAGTAAGAGGAGATGATTGATAGATTAGAGGAGGGATCCTCCATAAGAGGGAAAAACATGGCAATTCTCTCCACTGTTCCCAGACAAGGTAGTGTTCATACAAGAACACGTGGGACAGCAAGAATGCTGTTCCATTCACCATCTTTTGTTCCCTCCACCCCACTTTCGCGTGCCATGGGGAAGGACAAGGCTTGTAGCTGTTCCATGGCAGTAACTGAGTGCCTAATGGTGATGTTCTCTGTTTCATTCTAGATCTTTTGCAGGGAGAAGTTAAGAGCTGTACTATTCTGCTAATTTGATGCTTTGTGTCCCTGTGTATCTTCCTGTTTCTGAAACACGCTGTTTTGGTGCTGCAGCCAGGTGAGATGTTGGATGGTGTGAGTGTAGTTCATAGCACTGGATTTTTTATTACAATCGGATGTGTGCAAATGTCAAGGAAATTGAGAAGGTGGATACGAAGAAAGTGTCTTAGGTTGATGTTGGCACTGTGGTATTGACTAGGGGCAGGTGTGGAAGAGTGCAGCTTCTTGGGGCTGCACTCTTTTTTTTCTATCTTTGTGCAGCTTTTAAGGGCTGGACGTGCCCTTAACTTGGACATCGCTGGCTCGGGCAGCAGGTTGGGCAGGATTCGCTCGCCGGCCCCGCTGCCTCCCAGCTCTGCGGGTATGACGGGCGGCGCGTCCGAGCGTTTCGGGGAGCTCGCCACGCGTCCCAGAGCGGCAGCCCGGGCTCGGGGAAGGGGCTCGGTGGGGCTGAGCCCCGGCGGGGCTGGGCGCGGCAGGAGCCGAGCCGGGAGCGGAGCACGCCCGGCCCGGGCTGACCCCGCCGCAGGGATGGGGAACCCGCCAGGCTCGAGCAAAGCGGGGACGGAAGGCGCTGCGCCATCCCCGGGGATGGGGATTGCGAGCTGCGGGGCGAGAGACTTCGAGTGCGAGGGGGAGCAGCGCAGGAAGCCCGACCGGGGCTCTGCCTCCCCTGCCGGGTCCCGCCGCCGGTGGGGCCGGTCCCGGGGCTGCCCCGCCGCCGGATGCCCAGAACCCCTCGCCTCGCACCGGCCGGGCTGCAGGAGGAGGAGGAGAGGAGGAGGAGGAGGAAGAGTAGGAGGAGACCGGGCGCTTTCACTCCTGCTGACTGCTGAGGCAAAAGGCAGAAAAAGGAGGAGGGGAATAAAAAGTAAAGAGGAGGGAGAGAGAGTGAAAGAAAACTAAGCCCAGCTTTTGCCGGTGCTGCTTGGATTGGATCTGGTTTGAGTTTCCTCTCTGCTGGCTTGAGCAGCGAGAGAAGGAGGAGTGGGGGGAAGTAACTCTCTCACTCTTTCTCTGAAGCTTTAGCAAACGTGCTGGTGCCTGTGCTGGCGGGGAGCTGCCCGGGTGCAGTCTCCTCGCAGCTTATTGCTCTCAGTTTCTAGAGAACTGCCTGGACTTCTCGAGGACCTGGAGGAAAAAGGCATCACAGACCTGACAGTTGCTCACTGCCTATAGACTTACCACTTTTTTTTTTTTTTTTTTCCTAGGGGATTCTTTTTTAAAAAAGTATTTTTCTCCCGTGTCTCAGAACAGCAGTTCCTTGGGTGGCTCTGAAATCCATTGCTTCCTTAACAACTTTGGGAGATATTTTTAAAAACTTTTTCCCACCTCTCTTCTGTTTTCATAGCAAAAAAAAAAAAAAAAAAAAAAAAAAAGAAAAAAAAAAAAAAAAAAAAAAAAAAAAAAAAAAAAAAAAAAAAATAGAAAAGAGAAAAGAGAAAAGGAGAAAAAAAGATAATCCTTTTGGGGGAGGGGAGATGATCGTGCTGATGTGGAATAAGTGCTCCTGCTGTCTCCTCTTACTAGCCGCGGTCCTGATCGTGGAGAGCTCCCAGCTAGACAGCTCCAGCTCCAAGGTGAACTCCATCAAGTCCACCCTGATGGGGGAGGCTCCAACTCAGGCAACCAACAGATCTGCAGGCATCCACCAGGGACTGATGCTTGCTAGCAGTAAGAAGGGCAAAATGCTAGAGCAGATGGGAAAACCTCCCAAGCACTATCACCGGCAAGGAGAGGTAGGACATTGCTTCATTGCTTGAATGTCTGTCCGTGTGCTGTATGTAAATAATTGATGGTCTTCCCCCTCACATTCTTTTCAGAGCTTTAATGTGCTAAATTAATTAATTTACTGCACTGGGCTTTCCTGCGATTATATAATCTCATAATAGATGTTAAGAGCGGTGCAAGTGGGAGGTTTAAACCATTCATCTGTATGGTTAATAACTGATGGAAGAAAGAGCAACATAAAAAACTATCATCTTCAGCATTTCTTTTTTTGACTCCTTCAAAAGGCTGCCAGAAGCAAAGGAAGAAATTTCATGTTAACTTTCAAGGCAGTAAATGAATTGAATTTGAATAGGTGAGGAAAATTTGAACATGAAGTAAAAATTCACAGCAGTGTAACAAACTTGGTTTTAGAAATCGCATCTGGCAAGTTGATTTCTGGTATCTTTATCCTTGGTGAGAATAAAAAAGCATGATATCTCTGTGGTAGACTTTATGGTACAGTCCTTTGATTAATAAGACAGAAAACGAATTCTAGGTTCCTTGTCCGGAATATCCTTCAGTGATTGTAGAAGTTTTGTTTGGCTATGGGAGTTTGAATGTAAAGAAGATAGAAAAGGTTATATATATATTAAAAAAAAAAAAGGCTAAGGGGAAAAAACCCCAACACCCTGACTTGCTTGTGCAGTCTTCTTTCCTCTCTACCCTGCCTGGAAACTTGCAAGTCTGATACAAAATAATCTTCATTCAACTATCTTTGCGCTAAACTATAAAGCAGTATTTTAAGTCATTGGTCCTGTTTTTCCCTCTCAAGTCTTAACTTGGATGGTACGAATGTTGCATGTTGTGATGTTGAAAGAGGTGGACTTCTTCAGAAAATGTAGGTTTTATTGGGTATTATTGGTATCTCTAAATACAGCTGCTTTTCATAAGCAACAGCGTAGCAGCAAGAGAGCTGCCAAAATTCAGCACTAAAAAGGCAAAATACTCAATGACTGAAGTGTCTGTGCTTGCTTAAATTTTCCTTATTGCAGCAGAGAAGCTGAAAATATAAGTAATCCACTGAATTTGCTAAAGTGTTTCACATAAGCTTCCTAATAATTGAATGTTATAATTTGGTTTTGTGTGCAAGCATAGTAACAATAGTGGTAATTTTGGTTTTTGTATGTGAGAAATTTCCAAGCTTTCTTTCCCTAACCACTCAACTGCTTTATAATTTATCCAGAATTTGGTTGCCTCTCCTTACCTCTAAGCAAAGTTTAGCAAGAGATGCTGTGATGAGGTTTCATATTACTAAAGTACTGTGCTCTTCTCTAGTTCACATTTTACTAATTACAATTACATTACTATGTTGAATCACGTTGAGGAGATAGAGGTGCCCAATGCACCTTCTTGTATGTTCCCCTTGGATTTTCTTTTGTTTTCAACATATTCACAAAGTATCCAAATTCAGGTCCTATTTTCCCACTGAGTGTTAGCAGTCTCATGAGTTTTGTGAGTATGTGCTGCCCAGTTTTTGCCTTTTGGAAAAGTCTCGCCACCTTCCCCTGTGTACAACATCCTTAGGACTTCCCAGTGGATTCAGTGCAATGTTGAGAATCACTGATTATAATTCACCCAGTTCCTGAAAAACAATTTGTGCTACCCACTGGTTATATTTGCAAGATTTACCCCTAACTTACCAGCCTGGACTGGGGTTTCTGGGTGCTTCTAGTTATTGGCATGAACTCACAAGGCACACTTCAAGTGAGAGACAGTGCTGTAAGCATCTGTAGTAGTAGTAGAAGAGACATCATGCATATTAAGCTTTCATGTTTGTAGCATAAGGAAAGACCCCCAGAGAACTGGTGGCTATGACTCCCAGGGAGTGAAGCCTGACCTCCCAATAAGGGCTGTCAGCACTGAATTTACCCTCTCTCCCTGAGATTCTGTCCCCAGATCCTGCATGGCCTCCCACAGATGTATGCGAAAATGACACAGATTTGCTCCCAATAATTCTAGATGCTACTTTTGGCCATCTGCCTGAAGCAACACAGTTAATTCAGAATTGCAATAAAAAGAAGAAAAAAAGGGAAAAGACAAGGAAAAGAAAATGAGACGACAGAAAAAAAGGAAAGAGAAAAAAGAGAAGAAAAGAGAAAAAGAGTATCTTTTGTGAAAATGTTTTCTCTTTGGTGATACTTCCAGCTGTAGGGCTGGTAAGCCGCTGCGTTTTTTCACAGCGGTGTCACGCATATCAACCAATTAAGACATGACATTTTCATAATCTTTTTTGAAGTACTCTCTTATTAGGTTAGTACTTAATTTGTTTAGGTTATGGGACTTTGCACTGAAGTTTACCATGCCACTTGCAAAAGAGCAGGACTCTGCATTTCTTTCTAAAACAATCTGTTGAATTAGTGGAATTTGTAATGTCTCAAAAGTAAGAGTATCTTTTATATCTTGGCAACATTAGATGGTGAGTTGAGTATCTTGTTTACAATTAGGAAATAGTTTTAATGAGGACCAAAGATATGCATGTTAAAGAAAAATTAATAGAATTTTGCTGTTGTGAGGTCTCTGAGCTGTGCTTTCAGGTCTGCACATACACGTGGTGGAAATCACCAAAACTGATGAAAGGACCATCAGACTACAACCCATTTGCTTTTCAATTATGTTAATTCTCAGGACTAGGAGCAACTTGGGAGTGTTTAATCAGCAATAAATCAACTGATACAATAGTTCATGGCTTATCTGGAGTGTTGTTGTTTTCCAGCTGGTAGTTAAAGTGCTTCTGCCCAGAAAGGGAAGATCCAGTGCTCTTTTGTCAGGCGAAGTTCCAGTTTAAATTAATGAAAATACTCACATGAGCAAAGCAAGTTGATCCAGCTTGCAGAGACACTGGAGGGGCAAATGTGAATTTTAGTAAGACTTAACATTTTTATGTCTTTCTGAGGAATATTATTTATTTTCTGGTCTTATTCCCTTTACTGCCTTGGATCAGCAGAGAATGAGAAGCACTGATGTGCTAAATCGGTGAGATTTCATTCTCTTCACTGTTCTTTACTGTCACTGCTGCTTTTCCTTTTCTACAATCTGTTAATGTTTCCCCAATTTCACAGAGAATCAGAAAGTGTCTACAGCATTTGCACAAGGAAAAAATATGCTCAAAAATAGTACTGTACAATGCATGCTAATCTATGTTACTTTTGGGTGGGGGGAGTCTGGATTATAAACTGTCAGCTATTTATTTCCTTTCAAAACTTGATTTAGAAAAATGCTTCTAGGGACATCCAACACCTCAGTTCTGTGACCTGTCTGTGGAAGTGTTCTGGATATAACCCCCTCTCTAGGAAAATATGATACAGTGAACAGGTCATAATTAACAGTGAAGATAGATTAGTTTTACTGTGTGTTAGCTATAGCTTCTGCTGTGTTTGGGTAAGGTCTTCCATGTGAGTACTCTAGCTCAACTATAGAGATGCAACCTGAAAGGAAAAATAGAACATATTGTACAGTGCTTGAAAGGCATAGCCATTCCACAGATTCCTGGCTGATGACTTTGCAGCCTCTTTAATTCATTTCACCATCTTTTAGACTTCTTGCCTCTGGGTTTTAGTCCTCTCTGTCCTCTGAGACCTGTCCCCACTGTCAATGCTGGGTTTTGCAGGCTTTCACACTCAATCACCTGTAATGATCTGGTAGGCTGTGACCTACCAGGCTTTATTTCCAGCTGTTTTCCTTCTTTAATCCATGGGTGCTCATATCTTCTTCCCTTCCCACCTCCTGGCCACAAGCTGTCATTTCAGCTTATTCCCCAGCAAAATGTGTCTCTCATTCCCTTTGTCCCTTTGCTGCTGCATAGCTGTTTGGGTTGGTGCTTCCCACTGAGACTTTCCCTTCCCCAGGAACACGATGGGAGCAGTAGCAATGAAGGGAAGAACTGGGACTTTCAGTAGAGGGAAGTGGCACATCTGTGGGGCTGACTAAGAGATAATGAGTTCTGGAAAAGGGAGGAGTGAAAAGCTGGGACAAGTTTTAGTGTTGCAGAGGCACAACAGAGAGCTATCAGATAAGCTTTAGTATTCCAAATGTGTTTGGATTAATGTTAAGATGTGTTTATTTATTTTTTTTTTTAATTCTATTGCAGTTTGTGCTAAGATGTTTGAGACTACAGGAGCCAAACCAAAGAGGCATTTATTCAAATGACTAATTTGATACTGATCTCATATCTATTAATGCATGGACATACATGTGTTTCTTGGACAGGACATAGTTACCCACAAGGACTTGCTAGAAAATGTTTGGATGATGCTTTGTAGCGAGTAAAACAGCAAGAGATGTAGTAATTGAATGCAGTGCCCTGACAATGTTACAATAAAATGTACCAAAGACATCAAAAATGTAACCACAATATCTTAAATAGCTAGCAACCAAAACAGTAAAAATTATTTCTTCATGGGAATTAAAAATTATTTTAATTATTTGGATTAAAAATAAATTAATTTAAATAGCTAGAAATTACATCCAGCAATAGCTGTCTTTCATTTTTTTTAATTAAAAAAATACAGAATTGCTAAATCTCCAGAGGCCACCAGAGAATTAATTCTTTGCTCTTGTTGTTTGGTGTTAGAAATCTGTGTGACTTATTGGTTTATTGGCAGCAGTCTTGCTAAATAACCTATTGGCTTCCCTCTTAATTGCAAAAAAATGGGGTGCAGAATATTATCTCCTTCCTGGGTCATGCTTGGTGTCCCCTTCAAATTGTCATTATCTTAATATAGAGCAAAAGCTCCTGTAAAGCAGCTTTGCTCCAAGTATTTCCTATTAGTTTTGCAACAACGCTTAGAAAATTTCTAGAACTCTGATGTGCTGCTGGTGTGCAAGTACTTAGGAGGAGTCAGTTTCTGTATGGAAAGTCTGTCAGAGCTTAATGACAGCACAGAAGATGATGAAGCATGATTACATTTTCCCCTCAGAAAAGTGAGTCTGATTAACTCATTATGTTTGATTAACTGATGCTTTGCAGATG